GCAGCAATACCATCGATCTTGACCAGGCATCTCGTCTCCAGTTACTTTCTCACTGACGTGACGTGGCTTCCCGCTGTCTGCAAACATTTTCAAGGCAACTGCTCGAATGAGCGTTTTACACTGGTTCACTGACTACATGAATTTAAGCGTGTCACTAGATTGGCAATTAGGTCTCACCTTTGAATTATTGAACTAGCTAGATGCAGTTCCCACCTGTGGAACTTCCTTCTCTTTCCTTGCTTGCCCGTTAACTACAATCTTCAAAAATTTAAATGCGACGCTAATCGCTAACTGCTGTCTTCTTGAACATTGTTCTTTGTTGTCCTTTCCTCAATCCACAGCAGTCTCAGTCTTCTTCTGTTTCACTTTCAATACTTGTAAATCCCCTGCTTTTTAGTGGCATTATCGCCTTGCTTGGGGTGAAACGTTTAAAGAAATTATGAATCCTTCTAGATTTGAACTTACTTAATATTAGTCAGTGAATTCCATTACATTCATTCATCATCTTGCGGCCTCAGCCGAGATTGAACTCACCAATACTTTGATTGGTGCAGTTCATAATCTTGTCAAATAGCTGAATTCTTGATGCTTTGCTAGGGCTAGCAAGGGTGTTTTTATCGTGACACCATCACTAAATGGATTGCCAACCAAGGCTCAGAGAGACTCCATTCACCCTCCTCTAAGAGCGGGTTTGAATTCAGAGTTTTCCTTCTCCTAGACCAGTTGCCATCAAAGGCTATAGAACCCAGTCTGTCCTGCTATTTACCCATAGGGAGGGAGAAGAAAGAGGATTCACACCTTTCCCAAGGGTGTTCGCACGTAAGTGAATGTAATGGATTCGACTGGAATTCGAACTCGGCTCTCCGATTCCTCAATCCAAGCCGCTATCCATTACTCCACCGTGCCTCCTCAATTACATTCACTTACATGCTAATACCCTCTTCTTCTCCCCCAGCTATGGGTAAATATCAGGACAGACCGGGTTGTATAGTCTTGGATGGCAACTTGTCTTCAGAAAGAAATGGCAACCTACTGCAGGAAAAAATCTGCCTCGTCAGACATGTATCGAAAGTTACATGATCGCCTAAGCGTGTATGCCGCATGGCACATAAGTGACTGATTGTCAACTTGGTTCTAAAGTGGGCATGACAAATTTTTAAAATGTGTCTGTAGTAGGTCCAAGGAAAATAGGTGGGCTTTAATATTCTAATTTCTAATGGCTAAAATTATGAAATCACAAACTACACTACAAAGTCTTGTCACGCACTACCAAAAAGTAATGAGAACAACAGAAAAACAAGTACTGCGGTAATAAAAGGCGCATGGACTGGATTCAGTTTATTCAATTTCATTCTGCTATCACACATCGGGGAGGTCTGAATGATCACAATCATTTTCGTGCAAGACATCTGAAATAGGAAAAAAAATGTTATGCATGGGTGACAAGACAAGACCTGTACTGTAATTTTCTTTGGATTTTCAACTTGACAAACCGATAGACACCCGGAGCGGTATAGTCATTCGTCAGGATTTATATTTTTACTATATTTTCCTTTTGCAAATAACATGTATTTACTGCTGCATGAAAATCCTCATAAAAATATTTTTGACACGAAAAAGTAGTCACAAGGAAGAAAAGGTTGAGAAACGCGGATATAAACTCTGTTGTAAAACGTAGAGTTTCTATACTAGACTATTTATCGCGCCAGAATCTAACTTACATATATATTTACCATTCGTCCTTGCAATGAATACTGCTATCAAATCTAGTCTTGTGCTCAGGTTATACATTAATTCTAGATAAATCCAAAGAAAGAATCTGCAATGTTATTTATCCAGACCTAACATCTCGGCTTCAGTCATTTTGCCACCGCCATGACATAGCTATCCTGTGACTTTACTATACATACTTTGATGGAAATTGTTCCGATGAACTTTCCTCTAGGGTACCTAGACTTTATGAATTTACTATTATATAGTACTCGATTGTGGGCACCTCGAGGCGGTGTAATGGTTAGCAAGCTTGTCTCGCTAGAACAATTACGACTGAGTAGTGAGTTCGATCCACACTGGTTACCCCCCTACTGTCGGCCTTGTGCCACATCTAAGCTATGCTTGGAAAATCGCTATAGTACTAGATTGTCGGCAAGGTCTGAACATTTTACAGTTGAAACAACTGTGGACTCTTTTCTAGATTCTTGGTTTCCACTCAACTTTGATCAACAAAAAATTAAATGCAATGCTAGTCTCTATCTTCTGTCACCTTAATTCTTTATTGTTTGCTTTCTTTAATGTTTCCTTTCTGAAATCTTCTAACCCATTACGTCTTTGTGGCTTTATTGTCTTGCTTGGCGTGAAATGATTAATAAAAAAGAAAGTGATAATTTTATGAATACATTATATTTACATGGATACAATTAAACTAATTTGTGGCTAAGTATCTGATACTTGAATCATTAGGATTATAAATGTCATCGCCAGTGGGGTGCTTGCGGAAAGAGAATATGACAAATGGGTATTAGAATATTCTTGACATATTCTAAAAGGAACTAAAAATGTACATTGTTTTCAATGAAATTTTATATACGTTTATCATGCATGATATAAATATGTATGTACCTGTCACGATTTCTTTCACAGAGAAACTATCACCCATATGAATGCAACAAGCAATGTGAAAATGAGGAAATTCGAGACGTTCTTCCTCGGAATATTTACTGAAGGAAAAAACGCAGTCGTCGGTGGTACCTATATTGGTCGGTCGAACTATGAGATTCTCACAGTTCGCTCTACGATCGCAGACTTATGATGTCTTTTTTCCTAGCAGTGAAAATAGTAACTGAGCTTCATCACGCCCCAACTTGGCATCACTTACTGGCCGTCACGTCACCCTCGTAAATACATTTTTCCCAAAAGAGAGATAGTTGCTGTCTACATTCCTATACCGTCTTTGAAGGATTAAGTGTTTTGTCTTATTTTTATCTACCATTTTCCTACAAGTCGAGAGCGGACATAACTTCTAAAAATTCTCCTTTCATTGTTTACTATAAAGATATACTTTGAGCAGTGTCTATGCCTTAAATCTGATAAACCGTGAAATTGTCATATTCTACACTTTGATTGTATGAAGAAACATTTGGAAACACGTAACGTATGTAACAGTAAAATTGTCCAAATCCTGTAACAGCAAAATTGTCCAATTCTTAGATCAACCTTTGAACCGTTGTATCTTAGAAATGATTATTCCAGGAGTATATTCCAACTTATTCAAAACGATTTTCACCCTCTCTAACTTTCTAACTTTGTGTCCTGGAGTAACAAGGTACTTCCCAGGTTTTACGTACGATTTCATTTTCAACTTTTTTTTTTATTGTTCTTTGAACTGTTATAGCTGAAACTCCTCATTGAGGTGCCAAACGTCTTCTGGCTTGAGTTGCCTCTTTTCTAATGGAACTCTTTAGCTCTAAGTTGAAATGATGGTCCCTCTTCATGTTGTGACCTGATCCTGTATTTCTCTGTACTGTTCCCTCTTTTTTTAAGCTTATTCACCATTCTCAAGATGGTTTTTGAATGGATTTTGAAGATGGAAGCCAGGATATGAATGTTGGTGCAATTACTGAATGAATGAATAATCTTTTTCCTCTCAGTATTGCTCAGTTGGGAAGATAGCGTGGGGCTGACACAAAATGATTTTAACCTGTTCATTTTCAAGCTGAATAACTCAAAGGGTTTTCCGATGATTCTTACGATAGATGGTATCAAGATGGTTAAACGTCTTATCTGAAAACCTGGAAAAAAAACTCAATCAATTTCATGTTTTTAGATATTAAACATTTTGTAGGATGAGTAATTTTGCTTTTACAGGATTTAGATAATTTTGCTGTTACACCAGTAGCCTAATCGTATAGATGATCTCCTGTTGATCTTGTGCGTATTTCTAAATATTTAAATGTTCATCTATACAGTAGTTGAAAATATGTAAATGTTTACTTTTCTTCCTGCGTAATTAGCGAAATATTTAATTTTGTGCTCATTTCTAAATATATAAATGTTTATTTTGTGCTCATTTTTAAAAAAAGCATGTTTATTTTTGTAAGAATTTGTAAATATTTGCTTTTGTGTTCATTTCGAACTATATGTGCGCGGATAAATGTTTACATTTTTAAATATTCAATGTTTATTTTTGTACTCGTATTAAAATAGCACATATTTACTTTTGTGACCATTTTAAAAAATATAAATGTTTTCGTGGTCATTTGTAACTATCGGACTATTCACTTTTTGCTTATTTCTAACGATTTACATGTTTACTGTTATGTTCATTTGTAAATATTAAAATATTTCATATTTGTTCATTTTTTTAATATTTCAAAGGTTTACTTTTGGGCTCATCTGTAAATATTATTTCGGATTTAAATTTATTGGTTCCAGCTGATGTAAGTGCGAATCAATGAAACATGTTGCATGATGTATTACAAATTAATAAACCAAATGTAGGAACAAAGACATAACGAACATAGAAGTTAGAATTAGTAAAAGACATAGAAAAATCATTAGAAAACATCGAAAAAGTCTGTTAAATTAAATATTTAATTTAGAGATGATTTTAAAATAAAATATGCACACTTATTCACACAAGTTTTATTTTATTTTATTTTTCCTCTTTCCTCTTTTCATGTCCGACGCCACTAAATTTTTTCTCATGACTTAATGATATTTAAAAAAAAATAATTCTGTTTTTCTTTTTCCTTCTTTCATTTTTTAATTTCATACTTTAATTACTTTCTCTCTTTTCGCATTCTACTCATTTTCATTCATTTTTTCTCCTTTTTTTTATTCCTGTCTTCCTTTCTTTTTCTTTTATTTGTAATATTTTTATTTCTATTTTCCTTATATCTTTTATTATCATTCATATTCTTCTTTTCTTTTCTTTCATTCGTATTTTTCCTCTCTTTTATTTTCATTCTTGACTTTACTTTCTTTCTTTATTCATTTTTCAGTCTCTTTTTCCTTTCTTGTTTTTTATTCTTTCTTTCTTTTTTAATTCTTGGTTTTTCATGCTTTCTTTTTTCCTTCTTCGTTTTTATTCTTTCATTTTCCTACTTGTTTTTCTTTCTTTTTTCTTCTTGTTTTGTTTTCATTCCTTCTTTCTTTTTTCTTCTTGTTTTGTTTTCATTCCTTCTTTCTTTTTTCTTCTTGTTTTATCATTCTTTCTTTTTTCCTTCTTCTTTTTTCATTCTATCTTTGTTTTTCCTACTTTTTTTCATTCTTTTTTTCTTTCAAGTCTATTTTGTATACATTTATCTTTGCATTTCATTATTTCTCTCCTTTTTCCCATTCATTTCTATTATAGCATCTTAAACTTAAAGTTTCTTTAACATCTCTCTTCTTTATAAATATAAATTTAGTCTTTTCCTTTATTCTTTCTTTCTTGGTTGGAAACATTTCCGTCAGATACCGAGACACGTAGGAATGAAATTCCATCAATTTCATCTTCTGGTGGAGATAAAAATTTTAAGTCGAAAAGATAAGATTCAGAAGCGAATTAACGACTCATATATTCATGATGTGCGTCGTTTTTCTTATATCTTTCAAAAGAGGACATTGGTAATATAAAACAGTGACAGATACAAAAAGTAGGCAACCAACTCATTCGACAGTCATTAATTTCCATGAGACTCTTCTTCTTCTTCTTCTTCTTCTTCTTCTTCTTCTTCTTCTTCTTCCGTATTCCTGATTCTATTTTTCTTTTTTCTTTTTTTACCATTTCCCGCTTCTCCTTCTTTTTTCCTATTTCTGATCATTCCACATTCATATCAATTCTTTTTCATCATTTTCTATTCTTCTTCTTTGTCGTTTTCATTTTCATCCCTATTCTTGCTTCTTCTTCTTCTTCACCGTCTCTATCTCTTTTTTTCTACAAGCATGTTTCTCCTCCTCCGCCTTCCTCTTCCCTTTTAATCCCTTTCTCTCAAACCCTTCATCTTCTTCTTCTAATCTATTCCTTCCTTTTTCTTCATCTTACTCTCCCTTTTTCTTCTTTCTTTTCTCTTCTTCTTTTTCTTCTATACTCTCTTATTCTCTCCTCTTCCTTCTTCACTATCCATCATTCTTCTTATTCTACTTCGTCGTCTTCTTCCCTGTCTAACTTTCTTCTTTTAGTTATTTACTTGTTCACGCTTGATATTTGATGGCTTTCCCTCTGGGGTCTTAATGACAGCAAGTGAAACACTCGTGCCGAATCGAAAACCAGTTGTGTGGACATCGCGGCCCTTAGAGATTCTCAAAATTGCGAAAAAGAGCAAAGTCGTGCGACGAAAGTTCTGACGTCCAAAGAAACATTTACACAAACAACAATTATAGGAGCATAAAAGAGAAGCTTAACCCTGGAAGGAAACTCACGTTTTATTCTGTGTCGACGAGGGAAAAAAAAGACCTTTGATTTTAAAACGTGAAATGGTTGGGGCGGGGTGTGCGAATGCGGAGGTGGCCAGAATCTATCGCGCTCTTGTCTACTGCTATCTCCACGGATTTTTTTCGGAAAATTGATGATAAACTTGACAAAAAAATTATGTCCTTGTAAAATCGAGAAGTAAAAGCTCTGATTAAGTGGAAAATTAAAGAAGTCTGGTTGGTTGTTTTGGTGATTTTGTTTTATGGCATATCAACCTCAGTGGGTCATTTAATGCCAACAATTTTTTGAAATAGATTCGTAGTGATAGTTTTGTAAAAAAAAGGTGTGTATGTATACATATATATTTGAACCATTTTTAAAATTCTCATTTGTTAGTACAATCCAACTTCTTTTAGGGAATTTACAATCTTGGATAATTTTATTTTCGTAATTTTTTTTAATCCTCAATTGGTAATATTTTGTTCGCACTAGATCAAAATCTACACACTAATAATATATATTACAAAGTATTTCTGGTATTAGAACCTTTTTTTCACAAGTTTGGGTGTTAACTATTTGACCAAGACCGGGACCCTAACAGGTGCTACCACCTCAGGTTAGTGTGGACCTGGGAACACCAGCAATTAAGAGGTGGTTCCACGCTCCTCAAAACCTCCTGATCAGAGGCCTTGCTGTTGGAAGTACTTTATCGTCTTACCCAGGACGCTGCTGTCGTTTGTCGTCATATCCAGGACGGTAAAGAAATTTGCGCATAATATTATGACATAAGAATGAAAAATGCTAGCATATAAAGAAACAAATGTAACAGAGAAAAAAAGGAAAATGATATTTTAGATCAGATGTTCCCAAAGTAGTTTCCGAGTAACCCATGGGTTCTGCAAAAAAGTTTCCTCTTTTCTGCGACAAATGTTCAAAGTAATAAATGTTTAACAACACATTATCAACCTTGGAAAATAATTTCTAAAAAAATATTTGCCAACAGATTTAGATGCTTTTCTTATGCTGTGATGTATTTTTTAATACTTTCTTCTATATTGTATATCATATTTGTATTATGTTACTGCTGAAGTGAAAATTAGTTATTGATTGTGATGTTATACGTGTACTATACCATAGTAAAAAAAAAGTTCTGGCTGTTAATTGACACTCGATGCCGTAACTTCCGTGTGCATACACAAAACAAACCTACTTATGTGAATGTAGATGTTCCTATTACACTGCCATAAAATTTGATGTTTTGGAATAACCAGTCACTCCCATGAATGATTACACTATAGGTAGTAAGTACCTATAAAGCCGACCGTCTACGAGAGACAAGACTGAGAAGTGAGAGAGAAGACGCAAACACCTCCGACCCTCCAATTAGTGACACTCACTACTAGATTGAACTGTGTGTATAACTGTACCGTATTTCATATTGTACTTGTTGTGTACAATAAACCTTTCTTCTAGTATCCACCTGGTGCTCTGTGTTTATTCCCTTAGCATGGAATATAACAAAATCTAAGTACCGAAGTCGACTTAATCTTGCTGCTGACGTGAGAATATAACTCTTAAATATAAAGCCGAACATTAAAAATTTTAACAGTATGAAACATGTTCTCATTGAATGTTCCAAAAAATGTCTGATTAATTATAAAATAAATTTCATGTTAACATTGTTCGTAATTCTCTTCTACGTGTTACATAAGGGAAGTATGAACATTTAAAATTTCACTTTTTCTTTTTAAATATATCAATATATCTTTATTTTTAAATGTACTTATTATTTATAAAATTATATGAAAATATTTATATTACGACCAAAAAACAAAAAAAACTCTGAACCTAAAATGATTCTGCGTCTGAAAAAGTTTAGGAATGTTTTAGATAATTAATCATGTTTACTTGACTTCAGAAAGATAAGGGCTTAAGAATATTCACCCGTGTTGCCTTACATATCTAGAAAAGTAATCGGATGTTATAATAGAAGGAGTGACATGAAAATGTTAAAGGTCTCTATCTCCTTTTCGATGATAACCTAATTTGGACGTATATTTACACTTGCCAATTAGTATTACAAGAAAAAAGGTAAACTGTAGCAGTTACAACGGATAGATATCCCTTCAAAGTGCTAAATCTCGGGGCAAAGGGACAAATAGAGATCACGTAAACATTACCGCAATAAATATTAGCGAAATTTTAGAAACATTTACAGCACTCCAAAGCCATTGATTGGCAGCTGATATCTCCCCTTACCTCGTTCTAACACCTCAGTGCGAGGAAACCGGCTGATTGCATTTAATGACTCTAAAACCAACCAAGTTTCATTCTATCATCGTCCAGTAACGACAGGAGGAATGCATGTACCCTCTGAAAGGCTCAGTGCCCTGAGCGACCATTGGACCATAATCAAGTGGGGCTCGTACATACGAGGAAATATGCTCAAAAAATGGTCGGTTTCTCCTACCGGCCGAGTAATTACCTGACACTTCGTATTACTCTTTACCTTTAAAACAGACAGGGCATGCATAAAATGGAGTACGGCTGTCATATATGGACTGGAGCTGCTCAGTCTTCACTTCCCTGTCTCGATATTATTCAAAAGCGTCTCAGCGTTCTTGTAGGCGGCAAATTATATTCTATTCTACATCCTTTCCGACAGACGAAACGACGCAAGCATCTTGCTGCTCTATCGTTATATCCACGGAAAGTGCTCAGGCGAAATACATTCCTTAGTTCCACGAGTTCGAACCTGTTCAAGGCTAAGATCCATCAAACGACGCATATTATTGTGAGTCACACTCATTCCCTTCGTATTCCATTTTTGAGATATAAGTTCCACTCGAACAACTTCTTTTCGTGAACGGCTGTTATGTGGAACTGGTTAAAAAGACGGTTTTTTTTCCCATCCACAAAATCTTAAAATAATAAAGTCTAAGATTAACTGCTACCTTCCGTACATCCGAATAAACTGTACCACTTACTCCGTAACATTCTACCTTGAGTGATTCTCGGGGCTTGTGTAGGGAGAACATTACTGTAAAAAGCAAAAAATAAACAGACAAAAAAATTCCTGCCAAAAAATCAGAGATTTTTAAATAAAGGATCAAATGGGAATTGCATGAAATTACTAAAGACAATTGATACACAATTATTGTAATGGTTAGCGATACGGAATGAGAACTAAGCAAAACGAGTTCGAATTCTGACTGAGTTCGTTACGTTTATTTTCGGATAAATAACATTGGGAAATGTTCAAATGAATCCCTGCTCTCCCAGCTGTGGGTTAAATAGCGGGATGATGCAACACCCTTGCCTTAGGATAGCACCCAGTGGAAAAGAAAAGAAAACACTGAATTAAAAACTATACAAACCATTGAAGCCGATATTAAGTATATACAGTACTTTAGTTGTAATTGTCTCTATGCGATAGATGCTCAAAAGACTTCATTTCTTCGGTAAATATATGAGCGTGACCTCTCGGAATGGGAATTATCACCAATTGTTGTCTCACCATTTCTAAAACTCAATACTTGTCCATTTTCCTTGTTCTCTAAACGTATCTGTAAAAGGATGATCCCTCATACATTTTAGGGTTTGTGT